TCAAGGACATAGCCATAGAGGGCTAGAGCTGAGAGTAAAGCATCCAGCTGATATGAAGTGAGGGGAGATGCACAAGAACACCCAAACTTGCAGACAATAATACCAATTTGATGTATCCTCGATGGCTTAATAATCAGAACTCGACTAGAAGAAGATTAACATCACCACCACCACCCCCCAAAAAAAATCATGATACGGGAAGCAAGGGTAAATTGCTACAATTTGATGAACCTGACCTACACTCATGGAGGTGGGGTGGTGATGTGCTGTGGAGTCAGTTCTGACTCATAGTGACCCTGTACAGGGTTTCCAAGGCTGTACAGGGTTTCCAAGGTTATAAATCTTTATGGGAGCAGAAAGCCTCATCTTTCTCCCGCAGAGCAGGTGGTAGTTTCGAACTGCTGACCTTGCGGCTCACAGCCCGATTCATAACCACTATGCTACCAGAGCTCCTTACTCATGGAGGTAGTTACTCTAAATACCAACAGAGAGGGAAGGAGTCTTCACGTCAAGTATCAATGCTATCCCCTCTGCACACAGGGTAGATAGGGACAGGCAACTTACCGACAATGGCTACTTAAAATGAGGGGGTAATAAAGGCAAGGTTTCAAGAGGGAGTATAGTTTAAGAGTTGGGAGTGAGAGGAATCCCCACTGAATTCGCTGTCATCTTGTCTAGATGGGTCTGGTGAAAAGAGATGGGGATAAGATTAGTATGATTCAATAGTGAGTAACTGTTATCATTACTAATTGTGACTATCACAATTGTAAAGGTAGAAGTTTTGTAAGAAAAACAAGGCAGTGGTTAATTTTACAGTCCAGAAACAGAGGCCCCTGGAACAATCAAGGAAGATGAACACAAGCAGAATGCGGGACTTTATCCAGAGAAGCAGCATCACCAGAGATGGAGGCAGAGATGGGGACACAGAGAGAGGGAATGGCTGAGGACTCGAGATTCATGGGAAGAGAAGGACTAAGAGCAGGTGGCCAAGAGGCTGACTTGCCATTTTAGAGGTGTAAATTATTATATATGCCTGAGTTGTTGGTTTTTTGTTTTGTTTTTCAAAACAAACAAAAAGCTAAAGTTCATAGAGAGAAACATTGGTAACTGATGGTAGGGATTATAATCATTGTAATGAAACAAGGTGTATGATTTGTTGAATGTAAAACTGATAATCTGCCCTGTAAACTTTCACTTAACCCACAATAAAAACCTTTAAAAAAAAAAAAAAAAATCATGGACCCTAACATAAAAGTGGCCCAAAGTCCAAATAGAATCTCTATACGATAGCTCCTATACAATGGTGGTAGGATGTAAACTGGCACAATCCAGTCATTGTATGTCTAAAGTCTAGGATATGCACACTTTTTCTTTTCAGTAATCTGATTCCAGGATATGCCCTAGAAAAACATAACACGTGTGTACCAAGATACATATACAAGAATGAAAATTCCGAGAAAAACATGATTCTTAAGATGCACAGCACCAAAGTTACCTCAGTGAGCACACTTACTAGGATTAGGAGCTGCCCCAGCACCAAATGCAGACTGGCCAGGCTGCTGGCCAAACACAGGAGGCTGGCTACTGCTTGTTACTGTCCCAAATGTAGGGGGTGCAGGCTGAGAACTAGCTGCAAATAATGCTGTTGAAGATGAAATCGATCCAAAGCTTGGAGGGTTCAACTGGCTGGCACTTTGACTTTGCCCAAATGTTGGGGTCTGGCTAGCACCAAATGCAGGGCTGGCAGATGGCGTTGAAGAAGGTCCAGTGCCAAACACAAATGAGGAACCTAGACACCAAATAAATGTTAGGATCACCGTAATTAGTACAATGGGAGTATCCTCATAAATGTCTATAAACTTTAAAGCAAATTTCAAACTGATTTTCAGATACACCTTGCTAAGTAAATCAAGATTAAGTAAGTTTGAATAATGAGCAAGAAAAGAATTCTACCATTTAGTGAAACACAGAATCCACATAAACAGAAACTTCAGTTAACATGACTTTCCACCTTCACAGTCAACAATTTTTGCATGAAGGGATGTAATTGAGAAGACAATCCCCCACGAGAAATTTCATGTTGACCAATGCTGAATACATGTATACACTGCAAGAAGAAGGATTCTAATAAAACATTCGCCAGTTCTCTAATATGTGGCTATTTACAAGTTACGGTTTAGAGAAAAGAATAAAAAACTTGAAAAACTAAAATTTCACTCTTATCAAGATTAGAAAAATTGTTTTCAAGAGTAAAATATTACATATATACAATGATGCACATTGAGGCATACCTCTAACAATATTGGGGGTTTAGTTCCAAACCACTGTAATAAAGTACATAGAGCAATAAAGTTGAATCGCAGTAATTTTGGTTTCCCAGTGCATATGGAAATTATGTTTACACTACACATTAGTCATTAAGTGTGCATGCGCACTAGGGAAAAGTCTGAAATACTGTATGATTGAGAGATATGAAGCAAGCACATACTCTGGAAAAATGGCTCCAATAAAAGACTTGCTCAATGCACAGCTGCCACATTCAATTTCTGGAAAAAAACAGTATCTGTGAAGTGCCTGTATTGAGTAATTACAGCATGCTTGATATAGTTGACCTAAAGGAACCCAAGCTGTTATAGTATTTGTTAACCATTGGTATACATCAAGTTAAAGTTGACCAAACAATGTATTTTCTTAACGTGCCTGCAGAGCTAGATGTGGTTGTAGCTCCAAAGCTGAAACCAGTGTTTGCTGTAGTACTACTGCTGGCTCCTGGACCAAAGACAAATGGGGTAACAGCGGCAGCTGTGCTAGATGTGGTTGCTGCTTTGCTGCCCTGATGAGATGTACTGGATTCAGCAGAGTTACCGAAGGCAGAGTTGCTCACAGGATTGCTGGCCTGTCCAAACACAAAGGCAGCCACAGGTGGATTGGAAGAAGTGGTGGAGCTACCAAATAGACCAGCATTAGCCGAAGTGGCTGCTAGGCTTGGATTCGAGGAATTGTTGCTCAAGAAACTGAAAACGGACTTTGCTGCTCCTTGATCTGGAAGAGAAACTAAGAAACCAAAATCCTTACTAATAATCTCAGAAAGCATTTTTCATGGTGTCTATAATTAAAGTATTTAGAAAACAAAATATTAACTATTTCCTAGAGAGCCATAAATCAGATGGACATCTGTTATACAAATTTTGACAGATACATATCCATCTTTTTGCTGAATATTTAGTGTATTACATTTGGTCTTACAGGTGTTACAGTATGTTAGCAGGACTATATAGCTTTATTTTATCTAAATGGATAAGTGATTTTTTTCTGCAGCTTGGATTGATGAGTGTATTCTGTGGCCACTGACTTGGAAGGTCACCTTGATGATATCCTAAATTTCCTAATATGCATGCATCTGTTTCTTCTGCTGTTTTAATTATTACAGCTTTATGTTGTTGTTGTTGTTGTTATGTGCCATCGAGTCGGTTCCGACCCGTAGCGACCCTGTATAGGGTTTCTGAGGGTGTAAATCTTTACGGGAGTAGAAAGCCTCATCTTTCTCCCGCGGTGCAGCTGGTAGTTTCGAACCGCTGACCTTAAGGTTCGCAGCCCGATTCGTAACCACTACGCTACCAGAGCTTTATAGTATTCTTTATATTGGTAGGGCAAACCTACTTGTGTGCCTTGCCCTTCTCCCAAAAATTTATTGAGCATTTTTCCTTCTGGATGAATTTAAGAATCAGCTTAGCTGCCAAGTTCCACCAAAATACTGAAGTTGTACATGGTGGTGATGGTTGTATGCTGTGGAGTCAGTTCTGAATCACAGCGACCCTGTACAGGGTGTCCGAGGCTGTATGTCTTTACGGGAGCAGGAGCCTCATCTTTCTCCCGCAGAACAGCTGGTAGTTTCGAACTGCTCACCCAGAAGTTAGCAGCCCAACTCGTAACCACTAGGCTACCAGAGTTCCTTAAAGTTATAAATGTTGTTGTTGTGAAGTACCGTCGAGTCGGTTCTAGCCCATAGGGACCCTGTATAGGGTTTCTGGGAAGCGGCTGGTGAGGTTGAACTGCCGACCTTGTAGTTCAAATGGTTTTGCAGTCTGGTGCATTAACCCACTGTGCCACACCAGGCCTCCAGAAGTTGTGTATGAGGAGAGGAGAAATAATCTCACCCCGGGACAAGCAGAACTACCTCCTTTCAACTATGCAGTATGTTAAAAGGTTCTACTGATTTTATAAAATACCAAATTAGAAATGTTAGAAAACATAAATGAGATATACTGTTAAACATCTACTGATTGCTGATTTTAGGGGGAAATAATTGATTTTCGTATGGTGATCCTAAATCCAGCTACTTTACTGAAGATTTTTTGTTGTTCCTCCAATAATGTCTCCATTCCAATACTGCCCATCTCAGTTTTAGCTCCTTTTTAAAACATTACATAATCTTACTTTTGATTTTAAAGGAATAAATATTATTTTTCAAGTAAAATTTTTAGACAAAAACTGCTCACATCTATTTGTTGAATTTCACAATTGCTGTCTTTCCAATTTTTTTCTTTTTTTTGCATTGTTGTTGTTAAGTGCCGTTGAGTCGATTCCGACCCATAGCGACCCTGTATAGGGTTTTCAAGGAGCAGCTAGTGAGCTTGAACCACTGACCTCGCAGTTCAAACGTCTTTGCAGTCTGACGCATTAGCCCACAGCACCACACCAGGATTCCTGGTGCTTCCAGCTAATTCAGGAAGTGTCAATGCTATGAACTTTTGATTCTTTTGAGTGTCTGAAAACATTTCTATTTTACACTTATGTTTGAATAAATTTAGCTAATTATACGGATTCTAGGTTTAAAATCATTTATACTTTGTGGGTCCCATTTGATATTGCAAAGCAGAAGTCTGATGCAAACATACCTATTTATTTATTTGTGGCAAACAGCTTCTCTCTCTCTCTCTCTCTCTCTAAAAGCATTCAGGGTTTTTGCTCATGTAGCCTAAAACGTCACTGTCTCCTAAGTAGTAGGTCATTTCCATTTTGAAGATCAATGTTTTTGTTTACTCTAGGCAATTTTCTTCTATCACTGCTTTGCTATTTCCTCCCTATTGATGTCATCTTCAAAGAACTTCTCTTCAAACAAATAAGCCGAGGCTCCAGCCTGGAGCAATGCTTTTGTAGTTGGCACTGTGTTAGGGGAAAGTTGCTACTAATCTGATCAATTCACAAAATGATCTTTATTTCACCATGGATGCTTTTAACTTTTAAGACGCCCAACATTCCTGCACATTTTATGCTAAGTCTGATCATAAATGCCCAAAGATAAGGAGCCCTGGTGTGGCACTGTGGGTTAACATGCTGTACTGCCATTTGAACCACAAGGTCAGCAGTTCAAGCTCACGAGCCACTCTTTGAAGACGCTATACAGAATCGCTATGGGTCAGAACTGACTCAACAGCAATTAACAACAAGAAAGATCAGGAAGAAAGCCATGGATAGCTGTGCAACACTGTGTGGGCTTGCCTTTAGAGTTAGGACTCTCAACATTTTATATGTAGATCATCACTGGAATCATTTGGGGCGGGTGCCTAAAGCAGTAACTTCTTCCCAGAGAGCTGTTTTTGGGATTCTCAGTTTCAACTATGTTAAGTGTAAATAATGCTTTGACATGACACAATTGTCAGGATATCAGAAATCCCTTGTATTTTTTTTTTTAAAACAAAACCGAAAACTATAAAACTTACCAGCAGCTGTAGTATTGGTTTGAGCTCCAAAAGCAAAAGTGGCCTTTGCTGGCTGTTCTGATCCTTTCTCAGATGGTTTTACCATAACAAAACTCAAAGTCGAACTTGAAGAACTCTCATCTTTGGTTTGCTCTGAATTACCAAATGAAAACAAGTGTTGACACTTTGGCTCTTCATTGTCAGCTTTCTTTCCAAACACTAGAGAAGTAGAAGTGACAGGCTCCTGCTGTTTCTCCTCTGTCCTTCCCAAAGCAGACACTGAGGCAGATGGCAGGGAAGCATGTTCCATGTTGCCAAAAGTAAACCCTCGTTTGGTGGCAGATGTTTCTTCTTTTTTCGCTTCTGACATCTTACATGTGAAAGGAGCCACTGAAACACTCCTAGTTTCTATGGTTCCAAAGTTGCAGCTGCTTTTGTTCTCTGAGGTCACTGCGGTATTCCTAGCAGCAGGGGTAGGGTTAGTAACGCCTGTACCAAAACTAAAGCCTGCAGATGCAGGTTTAGGAAGTTCTCTCTTGTCTTGCTGCCCAACGTTAGGTACTCCAAATTGAAATGGAGTTAAAGGAGTTGGATTGCTTACACCAGAAGAAGGAAGTCCAAATTTAAAATGATTATCAGTCTTACTGTCTTTTTTATCTTCTTCAGGTTTAGGATCCGATGAGACTCCAAATTTAAAATCTCCAGTTGGTTTAGAAAATTTAAAGCCTCCACTCATGGGATTTACAGACTCAGAATCTGATGATACTCCTATTTTGAAGCCTCCTTGATCTCCAAATTTAACATTTCCAGTGTTGGTTAAAGTCTGAGAAGGACCAGAAGGGGAGGAAGGGATACCAAATTTGAAGGAGGAAGCAGCTGGGTTCGAAGATGATGCAGATGTACCAAAACCTTCAAAAATATAAAAGACACACTGAGAAGATGAACTAATATTCTTATCCTCTCCAATAAAGGATAACCCCTGAAAATCAAGTTATACAGGAGTAACTTTGGAAAGGCACACCTTGAAGAGTATTAGCAATAGCAGTGGGTGTGAACCAATGTGACCAATATTTACTATTAAAAATGCATCCCAGTGCCAACGATACTGACATGTCACCTGTCATCTATAGGCTGGCAGAGACCACAAAAAGCACTTTTATACAGTGCAGGTGGAAGTGTAAATTTGCATGCAAGTTGTGAGAAGCAATTTGTCAATATTTATCAAAAATTACAAACACATATATTCTCTAACTCAGCTGGGATTTTGTTTTAAAGATAAACCCACACACATGGCAAAATGCCATATAATCCAGGCAGATTAAGTAAAGATTAAGGAGGCAGGGAGACAGTACGGTATATAACACCTTTTTAAACAAGGTAGAGGGACTATGACACCTTTTCAAACAAGGTAGAGGGAATATTCAGAATAATGATATATATTTTTAGGATGTGCATAAAGAAACACAGCGTTATAAGGAGCTCCTGGTGTGGCACTGTAGGATCAGCACTGGACTATGAACCATACAGTCGGCGGTGGTTCAGACTCACCAGCTGCTCCTTAGAAACTCTATACCTCACTAGCAGCCGGAATTAACTTGATGGCATTTAACAACAAACAATTATTAGAGTCCTGGTGTGGCACAGTAGGATAATCACTCACTGGACTGCTAACCACAAGGTTAGCAGTTCAAACCCACTAGCTGTTCAGTTAAAAGATAGGGCTTTCTTCTCCTGCAAAGATTTATTGCCCTGGAAATTCGTAGAGAGGGTCACTATGAGTCCAAATCGTCTCGATGGCAGTGAGTTGGGTTTTTTTCTTTAACTAAACAGTTATTACCTGGTTGGGGAGAAGAATGCTGGGAAATGAGTCAAAGGGGATGAGAGAAGACTTTTTACTGTGAACCTTTTCATAGCAATGTTCTGAATAAATGTGCTATGTACTTACACAATACTAACAAGTTCAAAGTCTTGGTTATATAGTGCTTTTCTGTTAAAGAAACTAAGAAGAAAAGTACTAAAGATAAGCTATAACGAGTTATCAGTTTCCTGGGGGGACACTGCATGAGAAAAGGGGACATGAGGTAATTACGACGGGATATATCAAAAAGAACTGGAAAGCTTCCTGATTGTCTGAAGGACCCTCCCAACTGTCAGCTGTACCTCGTTAGCCACATAGTCATTTAATCAACTGTTGTGGTTAAGTGCCGTCAAGTCAGTTCCAACTCATAGCAACCCTGTAGTATAGGGTTTCTGAGGAGTGGCTGGTGAGCTTGAACCGCCGATTTTGCGGTTCAAACTGACCTTGCAGTCCAATTAGCCTGCAGAGCACCAAACACCAGGACTCCTTTCATTGCCTACAATCAGCATCAGCCTGTTCATCTGAAATGTGAAGCTGACTAAAACAATTCACACTGGTGCGTGAGAACTTGAAATGTTGGGCCAGCAGATGAAAACTTTAATAAGGAGTTGTGGTGTCGCTGTGGGAAAGACATGGAGATGGTAGCCACAAGATCAGTGGTTCAAACCCACCAGCCATTCACCGCTTGAAAAACGGGACTGGCTGCTCTGTTAAAGATTTAGGGTCTTAGAAATCCTTTGCAGCAGCTCTCCATTGCACTGTAGGGCCTGCTATGAGTCAGAATCTACTAGATGGCAGGGGTATATACTTTCAGGCATAAGCCTGTGACCTAGGAGTGAAAATTCCCAAAAATAGATCAGGGCTTTCGTCTCAATGCCAAAAAGGTGCCAAACAATTAAAAACAAAACTCTTTTTCTTGCTAACATTCAACAAATACCCCAAAACAGTTCTTTGCCCAGCCTTTAGAAAAATGCTGACCTGTGAAGAATCTGGACTTTAACAGTAATTCAGAGAGATAGGAACTGAAACCCTTCTGAGGCAAACACCTCATTTTACATGGATTCTCCACTGAGAAGGAAACAAACTATTTGCAACTATTTCTCTTCAAAGTAGCTTATTACAAGGAGGCACTTAACCATCACCTCACCTTTAAACTCCGATCTTGTGCCTGGCTTTGTACTTTCACACGATACACATTTGGTGGAATCTGCTTTGTTTTGTACAAGGCATACTTCACAGTCCCAGCTGCCCTCGGGTTTCCTGAACTTGTCCCATCCTAGAGAGCTGCCAGAAGACACAGAGACTGGTGGCGTGCTGCTACTTGAAGTAGGTGTTGAGCTTCCTAAAAACCAATGGGGGAAACAAAGGAAGTTTTACACTCACATGTCAATTCATTAGTAACACGTTCACTTCGTATTAGTTTTTCCCGTTAACATACCCAAAAAATGCCAGAAAAATTAACACTTTGTTAAAAACAAGACAGCTCAGCTTACTATTAATCTTATAAACAAGCAGCTGCTTTGGGAAGAACTACAACTGTTCCCCCAAAATGAAAAGTAGAACTACCATGTTGTAGTTAAGTGATGTCGCGTCAGTTCTGAATCACAGTGACCCTATACAGGAGGTCCTAGAATATATCTGGTGGGTTTGAACTGCCAAGCGTGTGGTTAGTAATACAGTACTTACTACAGCACCACATAGATTCCAGAACTATTGTCAAGTGACATCGAGTCAGTTCCGACTCATAGCGACCTGTGATCTACCATATGGCCCAGTAATTCTAGTTCTATATACCCAAATAGACTTGAAAGCAGAGACTCATAAAGGGACTTTGACACCAGTGTTCACTGCATTACTATTCACAACAGTCAAAGGTGAAAGCAATGTAAATGACCACCAACAGATAAATGGATAAACAAAGAGTGTCCCGTATGTACACTATTCTTACTCTGGTAAGGGAAAAACGATAAGGACTGAGCTTGAAGACATTATGCTGAATGAAGGGTATGGTGGGTTAATACGTTGGACTGCAAGGTTGGTTTGAACCGCAACATCAGCGGTTCAAACTCACCAGCCACTCCTCGGAAACCCTATACAGGGTCGCTATGGGTCAGAACCGTCTTGTAGGCACTTAACAACAACACTGTATGACCTTACTTATAAAAATACAACAAAAGGCAATGTTCAGTGACCAAAGCTTATTAGTGGTTGCTAGAGACAAGAGAGAGTGAGAAGAGGGGGTTAGCAGGGCTGGGAAAATCGCATTGATTAAGAGTAGAGTTGTATCAACTCTTGACTGTAATTACTGTCAATAGCTGGTATACCTATAGAAAGCTGGTGCTGGCAGAAGTTGTGTGATAGATATACTTAGAATGACAACAAAGAGTAGATACCTGTAGCTACTAACACACAACCAAACACTTTGTGGGAAATCGGTTCCTTAGGTTACACATTTAGGGTTACGGTTTCGTGGGACATCCCAGTTAACTGGCCTTACAACATGTTTGTTCTTACCTCCAAGCTCATTGTGTATTGCCTAAGGTCTTCAAAATTTAAACACTATCACCCAATACACAACAATCCACTCCCTATTCACAGCATCAGCAGAAGGGCCAGCAGAAAGAGGAGAAAATGGACTGTGTGGGGAACTGCCTTCTATGCTGAGACCAGACAAACTGAATGGTCTACAGCAGCTACAAGTACTGAACATTTTACCCAAAGATTCCATCAACGCCCAAGAGCCATCAAGGCAAGTGGTCAGGTCCCTTCAAGGGCAAACCCCCTTCCAAGACTAAGACTCAAGGGGAATACACAAGGGGAAGTGAGGGGAAAACCGCTATAAAGTTGTGAGCTATGTCTGACCACGTTGAATACACTCATGTGAACCTGGGTGGAGACCTGGTTGTATGGCAAGAACTGGGGATTCCTGGGCCCAAAGTCAGTAACACAGCCACAGAGGACTAGAGCAGAGAGTGAAGCATCCAGCCGATAAGAAGTGAGGGCACATGCACAAGAACATCCACACTTGCAGATAATACCCACTTGACATGGCTTCAAGGGCTCAATGATCAGAGCTCAACCAGAAGAAGAAAGAAGAGGAAAAAAAGACTAATCTGATAAAATCTGATCAACTTGACCTACACCTATGGATGCAGTAGCTCAAAATTGGGAACAAATCCTTACAGCAAGAATCATTTCCACCCCCTCTATACAGAGTAGACAAGAGATGGGCAACTTGGACACTGGCTACCCAAACTTGGGGCGGGGTGGGGTTGGGGGACTACAAAGGTAAGAAGTGACTGGCTTACAAGGTTTCAAGAGGGAGCCTAGATCCACAGGAAGGTAGAATCTCAACTGAGTGGTTTCCAATCTGTCTGGATGGGGCTGATGAAAGGAGAGGGATAGGACTCTGGTGGCACAATAGTGAATAATTGCTATCAGGACTGACTGTAAGGGTTGGAAATGTAAAAGTAGACGTTTTGTAACAAAAAAGGAGGTGAGTGGTTGACTTTGCAGTCTAGGAGCAGAGGTCCCTGGGACCATCAAGGGAGAAAAGCAGAGTGTGGGACCCTACCCAGAGAAGCAGTGACGCCAGAGATGGAGGCAGAGACGATGACATGGAGAGATGGAGTAGCTGGGGACTCTACACCCCGAGAAAGAGAGGGGCTGTGTGCTGACTGGGGGTTGGGGGCGCAGGCTTGCAGTGTGTACCCTTTGGTTGGTTGATGATGCACGGCAATGAAACGATATACTATAGAATGAATGTAAAACAAATATTCTCCCGTGTAAACTATCACATAATTCCCAATAAAAACTTTTATAAAAAAAAAAAAAAGATTCCATTGAAAAATCCTGACTGCAAGAGGGAAAATACAAAACACCATTCCACATTTTCATAGGCTCTAGACTTTCTGGAGCCATGAAAGTTGGATCAACCCCTGAAACTACCACCCTGAGATACTCCTTAAACCGTAAACCAAATGTTATCTGTCAAGTCACTGTCTTTAAACCAAACAATGGTGGAGTTTAATTAGGAAAACGATCTGCATTGTGTATGATGTGCATTTACTAACTGTCTGTATGGAATTATAAAATAGTAACTGGAAAGACAAGATAGGAAGCTTTGGGGCTGTGGGTTTCTGTTCATAGCAGGGGTGGGTGGGGTAGGGATGACAAACATGGGAAAAGCAGGATGAAAACTAAACTGCACATGTAGAATCTGCTAAATTGGTGGATGCTTTATTGTATATAGTCTCAACAACAGCAACAAACTAAACAAAATTTAGGGGTGAAAAAATAATGCTTACAAATTAAAGGTTGAAAGGTAAAAGACTAAATTGTTCCAAGAATCTTTATAAGGAAGAGAGAAGAAAACCATTGACTCAAGAAATAATTAGTCCAAGACCACTCTAATTGGGATCACAATAGAATGTCTTGGACCAAGCGGTAGAAAAATGTGAAACAAAACAAAATAATATAATAAAATATCAGCTTTTTTGTTCTGATACAGACATGGCCCTCATATCACCTTCAAATCTCAACCTGAATCTAACTCCAGGGATCAACTAGGAACCATACACAGGCCTATAAAGTGAAGAGTAACACCATAAAGAAGAAGCTCCTCAAACAGCTTGCCATAGGGACCAAAACCGTAGCTCAAAAACAAAACTCAGAAGCCTGGAAGGGATAAGACAGAAGGAGAGAGAGCAACAGGAAACCCAGGGAGGAAGCAGAAATAGTGCTGTTACACAGAGAGAATTAGCATTATTGTCACCAAACAAAATTGTTGAATGGAGAAGTGGCCTGTGCTATAGTTTTTCACCTAAACTTCAATAAAGCACTCTCCAAAAAAAGCCAACTTTATGAAATTTCTTCAAAGAATACAATATTCTAAGATATAAAAAATGTATTGTAGACAAGGAAGGTCCTAGCACAAATACATAGCCATAGAGTGTACTGATTTCAAAACATAGGTCTCTGCTCTAGTAATTTTTGGATAGATGTGTGCTGACATCCATTATGCAATTCAACTTGACACCTTCTAAGTTAACAGCACTTCTGCTATCTGCTATTCATTTAAAAGACTACATATTAAGTATACTACGGAATAAACTTAGGTACTAGAGACACAGAGATGAATAAAATGTTGTATAGTTTCTAAAGGTACTCATGGTCTAAAAGAGGAAAATGGATCAAATAGATTGACCAAGTCATACCATTCCTGAGGAATGATACAGAGGCGACTATTTAAATCTTTGAGTCGCATGTCAGGGGGCTCTGCTGAAAGAAGTTCCCCTATTTTTGTCAATGTTCTACTTTCACCACTTCTCCCATAACCATCTGTAACTGTGCTGTTTTACAGGTGCATTCTCTTTCACCTGACACGAGTTCCAACTCGGTCACATTCCTCTTTTCACAAGCTCTCCTCTATTCTCGTGGTTTGACACCAACAAAACAGCTGACTAACCTGTATTTGCAATCCACAGTTCTCTTCTGAGCTCTGTCCCTAGTCTCTCAGTTGGCTAAATGTTCCACTGTCTCTGTGGATAGCAAGACAAGCTGGCACCTTTACTCCCTTATATAGTTTCAAATTCATTTCATTCTCTCATTCTGACCCTTCAGTACTATTCTACTTCAAGTCTTCCTCATCTCCAGCATCTTTTTAATGAGACATCTGTCTGGTTTGATCACTTGAAATACACCCTCCTGTATGTAAGCAACCAGTGCCACATAATTTTCTTTTTCCTTCTCTGGGTACTGCTTTAAAAGATTAACCATACTTCATTTTTAGACTGTTTTCTTTATTCACTCACCTTACATCAACTCTATTCCCAAAACTTCAAGGATTAAATTATGGACTGATATCTCTGCAGCTTGCAATCAACATGTAATCCAACTGCACATAATTCTACTTCTCCTCAACCTTGATTGATTTCATTAGTATATTCCAGTCTCCCGATGCTGTTCCCTTCGAGTTATATATAACCTCTTAAACGCCATCATTGATTTATCAAAAATACAAATCTGAGCATAGCCTCTTCTGCTTAAAATGACGACTTATCATCGACAAGACAAAGTCCAAGTTCTTTAATATACATATGAGTTTTTCTGTCTTTAACATGTAACTTTCTTCCATCACGGTTATTGAACTCAACGCTTTACTGGCCATATAAACCCAGAATTGATTTTGGTTTGACTACACATATTAAATGAGTAGCGTGGTGGTCACGAATCAGGCTGTGAACCTCAAGGTGGGCAGTTCAAAACTACCAGCTGTTCCGTGGGAAAAAGATGAGGCTTTCTGCTCCCATTAAGACTTACAGCCTCGGAAACCCTGTGCAGGGTCACTATGAGTTGGAACCAACTCCACAGTACTTAACAACAACAACACACCCATTAAGATCTTTATTTTTTTTTTTTTAGGAGAGGAGAAGAGGTGCCAAATGGGAAGACAGTGACATTCCAGAATACAGATTCTAGAATCTTGTTCATGGGCAATGTCCAGCAGAATTGAGAGACTTGCTATGTTGTTTGGATAAGGAGTCACTCTACATTAGTAACTAGAAGCTTTATACACGGCAGACACGAAACTCTGTATCCAGGAAAAATGTAATAAAAATAGAGGTGTATTTTCCAGTATATGCACTTCTAAGTTTTTAATAAGTGTCCCTGATACTGTGTAACTACAGCATTATAAAAATGAAACAGAGACACTTTTGGGTGGTATGACTCTTCATTAATTAACTTGTTTAAAGAGAGAAACCAGAAAAGCTGAAAGCTAACTTCATTTTTCATGGCCAAGTTAGAATTTGTACGTTAATGCTTCAGTACTTTGTCACCATTACAGTAACTGTGGGAGACAGATCAGGTTAGGAGCACTGAAATTCAGTCAGAGTCTTGTCATGAACACTCCTGTCTTCAAAATCAGCACTAGTCATTCTCATTTTGCTTTTCAGAGGAGAGGGGGTAGCGAGATAAAACACTTTGTTCTTATAAAGGTTTGAGAAAGACTGCACAATTCTAAGATCTTTCAGCATCTACATTAGCTAACTTTGAAAAGGATCACACAGAACAAGAACATTCTGACAGACGTGAATACCAGGAGGAGATGAGAACATACACTGGACTGGCTAACACACGACCAAAGCTAAAAGAACATGAAGAGCCTGCTCCACGCAAACCATTTCACCTTAGACTAGTTTGGAGAAAGTCAGAGGTATGCGGATAAGCTCATCCTGAAACATTTCAAGTATGGAGTTTCTTCTCATCTATGTTTTACAGAGAATTAAAACACTCTACTAACGTTATAAGCAAAATTATTCCAAATAACCATAAACATACCTGGTTTCTCACACATACAGGCCACACATTTACTGTCGCTTGCATTATTAGAAATAAAGCACATTGGACAGTCCCAAGATCCCAAAGGTCTTTTAAATTTATCTCCAAATCCTAAGGTCCCGGTGGTCACAGTGCAGCTGGAAGATGAAACAGTTACAACACTCTCTGAAGTCACTGGCAGTGGAAGGACCCGCTTCACACCTGTTCCAGGTTTTGGTGTTTCACAAGCTATACATTTGACCACTTCAGGTTTATTTTGCACTAAACAGGTATCACAATCCCAAGTTCCTACTGCTGGTTTGAATTTGTCTCCAAAGCCTGTCCCTGATGCAGGAAGAGTTGGCTTGCCACTTTTATTTGCTGTCCCAATTCCAGACTGTTTAGCAGTATCTTTTGGTGGTATCTTTGTGGCTTGACAGGCTATGCACTTATTGTCTGTAACTTTGTTCTGGATGAAACAAGTATCACATTGCCAAGATGATCCAGCTTTTAAACTTTCCCCAAGCCCGATTCCACTAGAAGAATAGCTACTTATTGCTGGTCTTGTATAAATGACAGGGCTTGTTGTGGGAGGCTGAGTAAGAGAATCTGCCTTCGGTGACAGGAAACCTACAATGAGGAAAACAGGGACTTAGAAAACAAACTTAAAAAGCACAACTATTAAATATTATAGGTGGACGAAAACATATTTACTTCATGGCAGGGCTGATTCCTACAATTCAACAGGAAAGTCTTAAGAATTGTTTTTCTTCTAAGCAATCATTCATTAATCACTACATGACACTTTAGTTGAAATCCTACCAAAAACATTTTATTATGTATCATGTTATCCCCTAGAAATGTATTTACTATATACTTCAACCAATAGTCACTTGTATGCTTTCAACTGCTACTAGTTTACTACTGTCGCCTCAGTCTTAATATCCCTGCCTTCCTCCAATAATGATCTGCAACACACCCTTCATTCCTCGTCTGTCCCCTCTTACAGGTTTCCCCTTGGCTAGACCAAAGGATTTTGATCTCTGTAAGCTTTTCACTCTATCCAGTCCTATTATCTACTGTTGTGGTCTTCTCTACCTTCAGTAAGCCCAGGTGAGCTATACAGGTGTAGTTCTTTAACGATGTCCCTCAAAACTGTAACAAGGCAGTAGAGGATTACTTTAAGTTATGAGTACATTATTCCAACAAGCTTTCAAATGACAATGGTTCGATAACAAATATGATTGTAAAGTTTAGTAACAATGCACCCAATATTCTAGTAAGGCCCAAAACTTTTTAAATGATTAAAACCCATTCTACCCTCATGACACACAAGGTCATGCTACGAACTACAGGACTACACAGTTACCAAACACTAATTCAAACAATATTTCTCTACAATATTAGAATATAGCATATTATTATGAACACTGCTAAGAATAACCACTGAAAGTATAATTAAACAAACTATTCATGAGACAGGAAAAAAAGAAAACAAATCTACCGGAGTGCTTGTACTATCAAAATTGCTGTCACTGAATTGATTCATTCAAGCTATACTTTATTCACAGCAAAGACTTTCCATCAACTGTTTCTTTGGAACTAGTAACTTGTCTGCACATACCAACAAACTCAGTGGTTTGTTTCTTCAGCCCTTATCACAAAAAGAAAATGAAAACTAGAAGTGGAAGAATATACAGGTTGTTAGAGGTTTTCTAGGGGTGCCAGGAAATGATTCAATCTAGAGGTTCTTTAGTAAGGAGGAAACAATGACACATACTTTAGTTGCCCTGGCTACTGGTGCTGTTAAAATACCAAGGAGTCAGTTCTAACTCATAGTGACCCTGTAAAGCGTTTCCAAGGCTGTAGATCTTTGTGGGATCTGAAAACCTTACCTTTTGTCCTCCCTGAGAGTGGCTGGTGGGCTCGAATCGCTAACCTTGTGTTTTGCAGTTCAACAATTATCTTACAGAGACACTTCCTGCCCCCTGCCCCCACAGTCATCAATGAACTCTTTTTGTGAATAATTTAACAGCCTCAGAAACCCTATACAGGGTTGCTATGAGTTGGAACTGACTCAATTTGACACTTGAAAACAACAATCCCTGGTTAATTCTAGTATAGGTATTTTAGAGTTCTGCTATAACCAAATAAAAGTTTTTCAATTATTCAATACCTACAAGTTCTGGTAGTGTAGTGGTTACAAATTGGGCTGTTGACCTCAAGGTCGGCAGTTCGAAACTACCAGCAGTTCTGCAGGAGAAAGATGAGGTATTCTACTCCTTCAAAGATTTACAGCCTCAGAAACCCTGTGCAGGGTCACTATGAGTCGGAACCAACTCCACTGTATTTAACATCAATAACAACAACTAGCTGTATGCTCATCTGTATAATGGAAGTTGTTGTTATTAGGTGTCACAGAGTTGGCATCGACTCACAACGACCTTAACTAAAGCACAGCAGAACGAAACACTGCTTGATCCTGGGCCAACCTCACTACTGTTGCCACACTTGAGTCCTTCAATGATGCCACTTGGCCAATAATGGAAGAGCTGGACCAAAAGCAACCTGAACACTTATTAAAATCTTGTTGATGCAGCTAGTCTTATTTAAAAAAATAAAAACAAACACATCCACTCCTCACTTAGATAACAAAGATCAGCTTGTTAAATGAGAGTTGGGGCCATGCTCCATCATCAATGCCAATGCCCCCAGGGACCCAGAGGGATTGAGGATGGTGACCTTCTTGTCTTCCACCCAGCTGTATTCTCTCCCACCCTCACTGATCCCCAAGTGGCACCTCCAGACCTTCGCTTGGCCTCCCCTTTCTGCCTATGACCTTGCACTGTCCCACCCGCACCCTGTGCCCTCCGTGGTAGGACCCAGATGTTGCCGACGTACAGAAGGAATCCCATGGATGGTGGGCTGCCATTCCTCATGTACCCTAGTCCTCTCCCAGGGTTCCAATGTATTGTTCAGGGTGTTTGGCAGAGAATGAACCCAGGCCTGGGCTATTAGAGGCGCCACCTGAGAATTTTTTTGTTGTAAATGCAAAATGTAGGAGAGCAAGCTAGTGGACAAGTGAGGAGTAGTGTATACTTAGACAAGACGCATCTGCCTGCTAAAACTTAAGTTCTCTCTGAGCTATGAGGCTATCTGATGAACAGCTTTACATTCAGAAAGTACACATTACACTGAAAATTCTGAACATCCTCTTTAAAAGTTAGAATTCAAAACCATCCCTTTTTGAGGACTTCAACTCATCTCCTTCGAATTATTACCTACTCTCCTTTAAATTGGGAAGTGTGGTGGCTATGTAGGGTAAGCAATGAACTGAGAACCACAAAGCCAGTGGTTTGAGTCCAGCAGGTGCTACATGGGTGAAGATGAGGCTTTCTGCTCCAGCAAAGGTTTATAGTCTCGGACAGCCTATACAGGATCACTGTGAGTCAGAGCTGACTCAACTTCACTTTAACAACAACAAAAACCTTTAAATCACGTTTCTTATCAACTCAGTATTGTCCCCTATGTATTAAAAATGGTACAATTCACAAAAACGCTTTCTGTTCAACCATGTTACATGTGTATGCACACACCACAACTGAGGAACAATGTGACAAGAACAAAGTAGTCCAATGCTTTGAGGAAATCAAATCATCAGATAACAACATGTCTAGGTTTTTAAATTTTTATTCCTTGTTGGCATATCTTGATGTTTCATAGTCTTTAAATTCCAAACTAGTAACCAGGGTTTCTAATACATTTCTCCCCTATAAGAATTACATCCAACTATATCCATAATCAAAAGACAGCCTCCTACCAAATCAGTCACACTTTTTTAAAGCACACCTGACACTTAGACATCTGACTATCCCAAGGGCAGTTGTTGTCTTACCAGGGTCGTTCAAAACGTCTAGAACACTTCCTTCTTTCAGGATTTTTGCTGGTCTAAAGGGGCCTTCACAATCTTCATCTAGCTTCTTCTTACCGCTCGTACTGTGCACTGAAGTGCTATCTTGTGCTGCAATTGTTTTCATTGTAAAAGAGTATGTCAAGAGTAAGCAATTAGACTCTTAAGTTAAATGCATAAATACATAAAAGGTCAAATACTATGTATTACCAAACTATATGATATACTCAGAATAGGCAAAAGCATAAACAAAAATGTAATAGTGGTTACCAGGGTCGTGAGGGTAGAAGAATATAGGAAGCAATTATTTAAGGAGACTGTGTTTCTATTAAAACCACCTGCAAGTGGACAGTATTGATGGTTGTATAACAACAGTGAAGGCAATTAACGCCTCTGAATTCTAAAGGGGTGGAGGATTAAGAGGTAAATACTGTTCACTCTCAGTCCATGGAGGGGATTGTAATCATTGCACTCAACTGTATATGATTTCTTGAATATAAAGCTCAAGATCTGCTCTGTAAACCAATTCACAATTAATTTTTTTTTTTTTAAAGATTAAAATGGCAAATGTTTTGTTACATATTTTATATGAAAAATTTTAAATAGTCAAAATTTTTTCCTCTCAAAGTCAACCTTTCTCAGGTGTCACAAAAAGTCACCATATCAAAAGGTGAGGAGTAACTGAGTTGCATTAGCATTCCTCTCACAGAGTTTCCCTCACTCAATGATTGTTGACCACTGAATCCACTGGTACGCAAGAACATAAAATGGGAAGTACTGGCTAGGGACAAGTTGCATGAAGTATTTTAATTTGATTGCATAAAAAACAATTTTAAAAGTTGATCAGTCTCATTAAAAACCTCGGAAGTCTCTCCAGATGTAATAAAACACAAAGCTGTAGCAACAAAGTGCTACTCATTCAGTTACCATTAGTAAAGCACCAGTAAAAACTGGGGATTTTAAATGCCTTTTCTCATAATGAAAGCCCAAAAATATTAATTTGAGGGAGCCATGGTGATGTAGTGTTTCATGCATTCAGCTGTTTATCACAGGGTTGGCAGTTCAAATCTACCAGCAATTCCTCAGGAGAAAGATGAAGCTTTCTGCTCCTGCCAAGATGGACAACCTTGGAAACCCTATACAGGATTCATTAAGAGTCAGAACCAACTCAATTGCACCAACAACTTTTAAATTCATAGTAATATTGGGAAGGAAAGTTTTTACCAGAAGCACATATAAAATATGCTTTCTCTTAAACAGGGATTTTTTTACTCAGCAAAAAGTTACCAGTATTGCAAAGACAGTGATTTTTCTTATTTCATATTACTCTATTATGATTACTTATCTTCAAGATCACCCAATGCGAAAGACACTGCTTACTTCTGTGTTGTTGGTTTTTTAACCATCTACTGAAGGGAAAATTCTTTTTAGGGCCATAACTTTACACTAAGAACCGCTTTTAGGTACAGCAGCAATCCCTCAGCTGAGGTGTGTGCCTAGAGCACCCCACTCTCACGCACACTGTCATACAATACAGTGCGGTGACTCCACCCTCATATAAAAATCTGACCACGTCTCCCTCCTATGTTCAGAAAACATCAGCCTATTTAGTGTGGCATTCAGAACGCTTCAGAATGCAAAGCTGCCTCTCACGCCTCAGTTTATTAGGCACTCATTCAAGCAAAGGCAAATTGTGTCACACTTTCTCTCATTTCCGAGTGCTTCCTGGCATTTGCTCTCTTATCTTGGGTACAACATTCTTGCTCAAAATGCGGTTTTTGTTTTTGTTTTTCCTACTGCAATTTGGGTTTTGCTTGAAATTCTTGACCTTAGAAACTCAGCCTAGATATTTCTCCAATTCCTAACACTCTGTATTCAGCCAAGGAAATCATACGAAGCAGTATTACTATGTAATAAATGAAGTTGCCATTCAGGCAGAGATGACTCAACAGCAACAAATCTGGCTATCCACATTCTAGCGGAAGTTTAATCTTGGCCTAAGAGTCCTAGTGTGGTGCTAACTGCAAGGTGAGCAGCTCAATCCCAACATCCACTCCTTGGAAACACTATAAGAGGGTTTCTATGAGTCAGAACTATCTTACAACACTTGACAATCTTTACAAAAGCAGCATACCGGACCCTTCTTTTACAGAACCACTGGGTAATTTTGAACCACCAACTTTTAAGGTCAGCAGCTAATTGCAAATCTCTTGAAGATACTCACTTATAACAAAGTACCTAATTTTGTCCACATTGACAAAGGTGAAAGAAGGTTATTTGAGGTAAGCGGCTACTTTTTAAATAATTTTAACTTTATATTTATGAGATACTATAGTCCATCAATGGCACTTAACAACAACAACATAGTCCATCAAGGAGTCCTGGTGTGGTGCTGTCGGTTAATGCGCCAGACTGAAAAGCCGTCTAAACTGCAAGGTCGGCAGTTCAAGCTCACCAGCTGCTTGCTTCCAGGAAACCCTATACAGGGTTGCTATGGATCGGAACTGGACTCGACAGCACTTCACGACAATAACATAGTCCATCAAAGGACCCCTGGTATGGCGCTGTGGATTAATGCACCAGACTGAAAAACCATCTAAACTGCAAGGTCGGTAGTTCAAGCTCACCAGCTGCTCCTCGGAAACCCTATACAGGGTCACTGTGGGTCAGAACCAACTCGATGGCACTTAACAACAACAACATAATCCATCAAAAGGAGCTCTGGTAGAGTAGTGGTTATGAAACGGGCTGCTAACCACAAGGTCAGCACTTCAAAACCACCAGCGGTTCCGCAGGAAAAAGATGAGGCATTCTGCTCCCACAAAGATTTACAGCCTCAGAAACCCTGTGCAGAGTCACTATGAGTCAGAACCAACTCCACGGTACTACACAGTCCATCAAAAGAAAATCCCTACAAAGTATCTCGCAACATAAGCCCCCACCTACCCATCTTTCTCCCACAATATGTGTTCACCATTATGACCCAAAACCTGAGACCTTTATATGTCTGGAGTATGAGGTAACAAAATTCATGGGACTATTTTATGTAAACATTCATGGGATTTAAAAATAAAAAAACTTACCTGAACTACCTTTGATTGATTCTGAAGTACTACTGGAGGCAGAAAGTTCTGTTGTTTTTGCAACAGGCACACTAAACGTAAATCCAATCTGTGAAGACAGGAAAAAGCACCCTCCTTCAAGTGTCGACTTTGTTTTAAACCAATGCCACATATTCTCTCAGGTGTATATACAGACAGATCTCATCATGGAGAAACAATCAATCCATATTATGGGACTTTAAACAGCACAGGAAATTTGTAAATTGAAGGTGATTTCAGAGATAATGATAAATAAATGCAGTATGATTCTTGGTTGAGTATAGAACCAAGAGAAACAAAATAACTACTAAAAGACAGTCTAGGCAATGAGGAAATCTGAATACGGACTACGTTATTAGTACATCAATGTTAAATATCTTGGATACACTAACTATATGTGGATATGCAAAAAAAAAAAAAACAAAAAAACTTTAAGCCCAGTTTCATTGACGATATTGGGAAAAGTATAGGGACATCAAGCTTGTATTTAATTTTCAAATGACACGGGGGAAATGCATGTGCATAAGTATATATGCATATGTATGTCCAGGAGAATATTCAGGTGTTCATTCATTAAAGTGTTCGGAAAACTAAATTCTTTCTACAAATTGTAAGAAACAGATTTGATGAAATCAAAATTGGAACAACAGCTAAGAGTTGGTAAAATCCCAACATAGCCTTGAAATTCTGCCTGAACAACAAACATTCATTGATGGCTACTTACAGATGATGGAGGTAGTACATCCGCCTCAGTAGATTTTACAATTGGAGATGAAAATCTAAACATGGGACTGCCAGAACTACCCGGAGAGCTGATTTGTACCTGGTTTTCCAAATTATTAAGAAATGACACAGAAAGAGCTACTTAGAAAAAAAAAATTGACAATAAAATTGACCTTAAACAAATCAATTATTCCAAAGAAACCAAAAGCATTTTTTTTCCTTTCAGTCTTTGAAAAACACTTTAATTTGTAAAATATATAACAAAACCAAACCCACTATATACTACTGAGTCAATATCAACTCACAGCAACCCTAGATAGTATTTCCCAGAATGCATATCTTTACAGGAGCAGACAGCCTCATCTTTCCCCTACAAGAGTAGCTGGTGGGTTTGAACTGCAGACCTGGAAGCTGTAGTCAGTGCTTAGCGTACAGCGCCCACCTGGCTTTCTCTTGGAAGAGAATGTACACACTAAGATAGGGGTAGCCATTTAGCTAAAGGAGGAAAATAACATCTATGTGTATGCTCAGAAAAAGTATAAGCCAGGAAGAAAGCGTATGTCAGGAGCAGATTAAAGATGTTAATACTACTGGTTTGGAAACAAATTTAAAGTCATCTTTCTCTAGTGGAAATGAACAATTCTACTATCACATAATCCGAGATATCTGTATATTAAAAAAAAGAGAGAGAGAGAGAGAGAGAGAGAGAGAGGGGAGGTTAAATTTAGATTTCTCTCTTCTTACTGAGTAACTAAAAACAATCACTCTGCTTTAAATAAAGAATTATTATTTAGTACAGTCAAGTTGGTTCTGACTCACAGTGACCCTGTATAGGATTTCCAGAGAGTGCCTGGTGTTTGAACTGCCAACCTGTGTTCAAACTGACTGAGTTCCAGTGCTTTACCCCAGTGCCAAACCAGGACTCCACAAATAAAAGATCAGACTTTCTTAAAATAAATAATAGAAAAGAACAAACATCAACTTCATTTAGAATGGTTTTATACCTTATTTGTTAATAACTGTGTAGGACTGATGGGTGATGGAGAGGAAGTAGTAATCGCAGAAGAACTAAAACTGAAGGTAGGCAGTGAAGAACTGGTAATTGGTAGAGAGATTTTCGGTAATACTGGTACTTCCATTTCCTAAAATACATAATATATTTTATAATCACATATTTTAATATTATCTTTGCTTTATTTCTAGTCATTTTCTTATAGAATGAATCTATTTACAGGTAAATCTAGAACACAAGGCAGGTAGCATCATGTAGTGCTATGATGTGGTTTCTTAAGAATCAAGAAAATGAACTAATTTGAATTCTAGCTGTGCCACCGAGTCGCGTGAATTTGGAAACCAAAACAGAAAGGTAAGATTCTTGCTCTGTATCACAGTTTCGGTATTAATATGAAACAAAGTCCTACGTGGTATGTGATAAGAAAACAAAGCACTTAATAAACCTTGTTGTTAAGTGCCAATCACAGCAACGCTGTATAGGGTTTCCAAGGAGCAGCATATGGATTGGAACTGATGACCTTGTGGTACAATGCTTATCCTACAGTGTCACACCAGAACTACAGAAATCAAGTTTGACTCTAGCAGGACACGAACCAACAACCTTTAAATCTCTCACAGAATGCTAGAAGTCCAATGCACTATCCACTGTGCCGCAGTACTGATTAAACTTAGTGAACACTGGTTTTTTAAACCACCAACAGCAAAACAATGCCCAAGTTAGAAAGGACCTGATTAAGAGCAAACAAAAAGATTTATGCGTCAGCTAATAATAGACTACACTTTGCTTTTGACCAATGCTCCGGCAAATTTACTTGGACAAACTAGAAAAAGCAAGCATGTGAAACATTGGAGACCAACCAAAATCAAGCAGAAACTAAAGATACTGGGAAGAGAGGAACAGCACTGAATAAGATTCCCGTTTTCTGAGTTTGTGTAAATTGTTGTCACCAGGTAGTTGAAATTCAGAGAGCAATCTGCAAATCTCCTAGTTGAGGAATCAGAGGATATAATGCCAGTCCTAGTAGGGGATAATGCTAGTAGCTACAAATGCAGGGGCAATCCCAAAGTCTAGATACATATAAATTGCTCAAGCTTCTGGCTGGCCTGTAAACTACTCACGTGTAAGGCAGCAACAAGTAGCCAACTAAGAGTACAGATTTGCAGTTGTGGCCACCACTGAGGAAACAGTTTGAAATCTGAGCTCAATCAAGTTAAAACCCCCTGAAATTATAGCTCAATGAAACGAAGACAACTGGACCGGTAAATCACAAAAAATAGAGAAAAAAATTGAAGTTGCTAAAGACTTCGTTGTGTCTGAATCCACAGTCAACACTCATAGAAGAAGCAGTTGTTGTTGTTAAGTACCGCTGAGTCAATTCTGACCCATAGCGACTCTGTATAGGGTTTCCAAGGAGCAGCTGGTGAGCTTGAAGCACCAACCTTGAAGTTCTAACAACTTTGATGTCTGAAGCACCAGCCCACAGCACCACACCAGGGCTCCAGAAGCAGCAGTGGGAAGATTAAAATGTGGACTTCCAGGAATGGCAGACTAGGCAGACATGCAATACAGAACCTCTACAATAAAGATAAAGAACTTACATACAGCAAGGAAGTAGAGTAGATTTCAAGATAAAACAGACTGTTTTAAACAGGGGGGAAATTAATCAATTAAAGAAAATTATTATGCCTTCATATCCAAATAAAAAAATGAAAATCACAAAGATTTATTAAATATTAAAATAACAAACATTATGAACTCAGGTCAGAAATTTATATGAAAAAACAAGCTAATACCACCACACACACTGCAAACACAGCAAAATGACAAATGTAAAGGGATTGAATGTACCAGGCAAGTGATGAGAGTAACAGAATGAATACAAACTTTGGTACATAACACAGTGGGATACTAAGCAACATGAAGAATAATGACAAACCTGCAAAATAACTCATAACATAGATGAACATGGAGGATACCATGCTAACTGAGAGTAATCAATTATAAAAGGACAAATACTGTACGAGACCACTTTTGTAAAAAGTTAAGAAAAGGTTTTCTTGTTAAAATGAAATATTCTGTAATGGTTACCAGCAACAGGTGGGAAGGGAAATGTATTTACTGGGAGAGGATAGACATGTTAACTTGGATGATGGAGAATGAAATATACAACGAGAAGGGGTTGACACAGGAAAGATGAAGGGAGCAGAAGACACAAGGAGAAATGCTAGAGTTACAGTGAAGAGAGGCAAAAACTGTTATCTGATGGTACCCAGAAGGGACTGCAATCATTGCAGTAACATGATTATGTGTGGACTGATGATCTGTTCTGTAACCTTGACTCAATTCACATAAAATACTTTAAATTCTGGAACATATCATAAATGAGGATAATTACAGCAAGGGTGGAAACATACAGTATATTATAACTGGCTTTTAAAAAAATGAAGTATGTAAAATGAACTGAACTGTTGGCTATACAACATGGTTAGTTTGCAATTGACTACCTACACACTTAAGCAAAACTCCATCTATAATGCAAAGCTTATGCAGTCTATAAAGCCCCAAACGAATATACATGTGAACAATATTACAGAGAAGTGTGTAATAATCACTCTATGAAAAATTCTGGTCCTTTGTTTTAAAATTTGGGCTACTGCTGTTAGGCTGTTAAAGTGCCATTGTGTCATTTCCAACTCATACTGACTCCTGTATAGGGTTTCCATGGAGTAGCTGGTGGGTTTGTGGTTTGCAGCCCAGTGCTGATCCCACAGTACCACACCAGGACTCCAAAGCTGGGATTGCTGCTGCTGTTAGGAGTCATAGAGTCGGTACCAATTCATAGCAAAGCTATGCAAAACAGAATGAAACACTGCCCAGTTCTGGACCAACCTCACAATTATTGCTACACCTGAGCCCATTGCTGCTACCATCGTGCCAATCCATCTTGCTGGGGGTCTTCCTCCAATTCCAGGAAATGATTTCTAGGGACAACATGTCTGAAATATGAGAGATGAAGTTTGGTCATCCTGGCTTCCAAGGAGCCTTCTGGCTGTATTTCTTTCAACATTGATTTGGATAGGGTCCTACATTCCGCCATGCTCTTCTCTCTTGATGATCCTAGGGTTCTCTGTTCCTGGCATGTAAGAACAACTACTTCTCCCTTTTTGTTACAAAACTTCTACGTTTTCAGTTGTGACAGTTGCAGTTAGTCATGGTAACAATTACTCACTACTGAATCATAAAAATCTTATCCCCATCTCCTTTCATGAGACCTGTGTAGACAAGATGAAAACTATTCAGTGGGGATTCTACCTTCCCCCGCACACTCTGAAACTAAACTCCCTCTTGAAAATTTGTAACTCAGTCACTTTGTGTCTTTATAGCCCATTTTAAGTAGCCAATGTCTAAGTTGCCTGTCCCTATCCTAAGTTATATCTTCAAAACAAAACAAAGTATATCAACAAGCAAGCAAAAACTAGAGTCACATTTTTTTAAATTACAAAAAGCATATTCTATTAGGCACTTTTACTGCATTAAGACCTCAGTTTGAGGAGCAAGTGTGCCTGATCAAAGCCATGGTATTTTCAATCATCTCACATGCGTGGGAAAGTTGGACATCAAACTTTTTCAAAGAAAACTGAAAAGTACCATAGAATGCCAAAAGAGCAAACAAATCTTAGAAGTGCAACAAAAATGCTCCTTAGAAACAAGAATGGTGAGACTTTGCCTCTTGTTCTTTGGACATGTAGTCAAGAGGGACCAGTCCCTGGAGAAGGACACTATGCATGATAAAGACAGTCAGTGAAAAAGAGGAAGACCCCCAAGGAGATGTACTGGCATAGTGGCACCAGCACTGAGCTCAAACAGAGCAGTAATTGTGAGCAAGAAGAGCAGGGTCAGGCAGTGTTTCATTCTGCTGTGCACAGTGGTGCTATGAGTCAGAACCAACTTATCAGAAGCGACCAACAACAACATTTAGAGTAATGTAGGCTGTTGGTTTTGTATATATGCTCTTTATTATGTTGAGGAGTTTTCCTTCAATTCCTATTTTGTTAAGTGTTTTATCAGGAATGGATGTTGGATTTTGTCAAATGCCTTTTTTGCATCTATTGATATGAACATGTGATTCTTTTTTCTTATTTATATGGTGGATAACGTTGATCGTTTTTCTAATGTTGAACCATCCTTGCATCCCTGATATGAATCCCACTTGATCATGATGTATTATCTTTTTGATGTGTTGCTGAATTCTGTTGGCTAGGATTTTGTTGAGAATTTTTGCATCTATGTTTATGAGGAACATTGGTCTATAGTTTTCTTTCTTAGTAACGTCCTTCCCTGGTTTTGGTATGAGGGTTATACTTGCTTCATAAAATGTATTAGGAAGTTTTCCATCCTCCTCTATATTCTGGAATAATTTGAGTAGCACTGGTAACAGCTCTTCCCTGAATGTTTGGTAGAATTCACCTGTGAAGCCATCTGGGCCTAGGCTTTTTTTTGGTTGGGAGTCTTTTGATGACCTGATCAATTTCTTCTTTTGTTATGGGTCTGTTCAGGTTTTCTACTTCACTGTGTGTATAAGTTTAGGTCATGTTTATCTAAAAACGTATCCATCTCTTCTAAGTTTTCAAATTTGTTGGAGTACAACTCTTCATAATATTCTGTTATTATCCTTTTGATTTCCTTTGGTTCCATTGTGACATCACCCATGTGATTTCTAATGCATGTTATTTGTGTCTTCTCTTTTCTTTAGTTAGGTTTGCCAATGGTCTGTCAATTTTGTTAATTCTTTCAAAGAACCAGATTCTTGTCTTGTTGATTGTTTCCATAGTTTTTCTGTTTTCTATATCAATTATTTTTGCTCTAATCTTTATGATTTCTTTTCTTTTGGTGGCTGTGGGTTCCCTCTGTTGGTCTGTTTCTAATTGTTGTAGATGCCGTGTTAATGTGCTAATTTTAGTTCTTTCTTCTTTTTGGATGTGTACGTTTATTTCAATAATGGCATACACAAAAATCATGTGCATGTGATTTCATAGATTTACATGCAATATAAGTGACAAGAGTAACATAAAATACTAGAGAGGTTACACAACTGAAAGAGAATTATTGTATAGGAAATGTTACAAT